GACTTGTATCGCTGAAGTTCCTCGGAAAGAATTCATACCGGAAATTAACAAACGAGCAGATACGTAACATTATTATTATTTTCCGTATACAACAATGAACACTGCTAACTTTTATGATTATTTTTTAACAATTAGGGTTAGTAAAAAACCACAGTAAATGGAACAACTTATCAGAAGATTTGAAATTAGAGCAACTTCTTTCGACAACGTGAGATTAAGAGAGCTCACAAATGTGTCGAAATTAATTTATCTAATTTCAAGTCTTCTGATAATTTGTTCCATTTGCCTTAGTTTTTAATTAACTACTGCACACGATTTTGTGTTCTTTAATTATACGTTAGCATTAATAAATTTACATTTTTTATGTCACCTTTCAAAAAATCTCAGGTTGATTAAAAATACAGCTAGGCGAGTCTTAATAATGTATTGGTTAAATTGAAAGAAACACCTCGTCTATAGCCACTTTTACGAGTTTTATATTATTAAGAAACCTTGATCAAAAGCAAGCAAACTGTGTAAATCAGAAGCAAAATAACTTAAAAGTAACATTAATGACGACAATCCAGCATAATATATTGATTAAAACTGCTTAATGTTATAAACAGTTATTACATCAGAAAATTAAAGCTTCTTTTTAAACTTACGTTTATTAATCAGTTGGATGGTACTCTCGGTATTGGAAATATTTTCGTCCGTAATTCGAGTAATATCAAAAGTGCTTTGGCGAATTTAGTAAATTTGAGTTAGTCGTGATTCTACATTGAACCATACACAATTTGATATCTCTACTTTAGTTTTACAGTTTTGAAGTATAGAAGGGTTATGCGTGTTTATGTTAATATTTTACCAATGATCGAAACCTTTGACACAGAATATGATTCCAAATATTTCTAGCCCAGGAATAAGTTTTTATTCATCCGATCACATTATTCTTTCATAGCTTTTTATGATAAACAAAATTTTGTTCGCATTCACGTTACATTACATACATTCATTAATTTATATAACTTAATTTTAAAATATATACTTTTTAGGTTATGTTCAGAGGTAGTCAGTTCGAACACTCGAAACATAAAATATACATTTTTTTTAATTATGATGTTACCCGATGGCTCAGTGGTAAATTGGAAAACGTTTAACCGTAACGTCTGAGGTTCGATTCCCCTGAAGACTTAGTGGTAAAGTTGAGAGCTTACAATGCTAAAATCCGTGGTTCGATTCCTTACTGTAAATAGACAATTGTGGTTGTCTGTTTTAAAGCAAAGCTACATTAGGGTATCTGCTGTGTTTACTTTGGGAATCGAACCCTGTATTTTAACGTTGTAAGACCGTAACTTTACCGCTGTCTCACCAGGGTCGACAGTTGTGCAACTTTTTGCTACCAAACCAACTTTGAATAATATCAAGCACAAGTTAATCCTGCATATCCAGTTCAGCATAAAGTTAAATAATCATCCATCATATAAAAATATAGTCTACAATAATGCCTTTATTTTTTATAGATATGTTTTTTTTAAACACTTCATATTTTTATTTGTTATTATGCGGATTAGATACGTTTCTGAATTGTAAGCTTTAGAGCACAACATAATCATTATAACCGAAAGCATGACAGAATCTTTGTAACTGAGAGAAGAAAAGAATCATTGTAAGTGGGAAAAGGATAGAATAAACGTAACAGAGAGCATAACTTATTATTATAACACACAGACTATCAGATTTTCAATGTGTTGAAAATGACAACTGTAACTGAAGGTCTTGTCAGTAACCACAATAATATCCACTGTTTAACCCTTTGCCATACCAACCCAAGAAATTCTAAACGCTTAAATTGTTCCTCTAACAAATAGTCATTCAGATATGCATCGTAAAAAACAATAACCTTAACACTGTCAACAGCAAAATTTCTGTGTAGTTATATAACACTTGTTGATTGGCTTCATTAGGTAAGTATCTCATCTGATGTTAACAGATAAATAATCACAATTCAAGGAACTTAATAACCCGAGTGCTTTCGGAAGGAGGTTAAAATCTTGGTTTCTCGTTGTTTGTTTGTTTTTTGCAAAGCTACCCAAGGACTATCTTCGCTAGCCGTCTTTAATTTAGTAGCGAATGACTAGAACAGCTAGTCAACACCATCTACCGCCAACTCTTGGGCTACTCATTTACCAACGACTAGTGGGGTTGATCGTCACATTATAATGCCTCCACGGCTGAATGGGCGAGCATATTTGGTGACAGGGATTCGAACCCACGAATTGTGTGCCGAGCGCCCCCTAACCACCAACATCGAAGTACGTAGCTAGTCAATAGCACCCTACCAACTCTTTGGTTACACCACACCCACGGCCCCAAAATGCGGAACGCGTTTCTGCGACAAAGGACCACAAACCATAAATTGTTACACCTAAAAATTTCTTGTCATTAACTGTTATGTGATAAACTTTGAACCAGACTACTATAGAACTGGCAAGGTAATTCACAAATTTGTAGAGGATAAAACTTAGCCTTATAGATGATTCACAAGGTTGTAGAGGATAAAACTTAGCGGCTTAACTTATAGATGATTCACAAGGTTGTAGAGGATAAAACTTAGCGGCTTAACTTATAGATGATTCACTTAAGCCGCTAAGTTTTATTCTCTACAAACTTCTTATATATCATAAGTTCGACGATTGTTCACGTTCTGATCTTCCAGAGAACAATCTGTTTAGTTAAGTTTCATTTCTACCAAGTAATAAAACGGGTTTCAACAAGGCCTACTTCTAGTCTTACTCTGGATACACAATTATAAAGAAGATAGTTTTGTTTCAATGTGTAATCAAACAGTATAAGTTGTTTTTATGAAATAATAATTATGAGTAGGTTGTATAACTCTTGACCAATCTTTGCTAGCTGTGTAAAGAAATATGGTAATTTATACTCTATATTTTATAAATAAACAGCAAATTTCAATGTTTCCAAAGTTCCTTACATTATACTCTCTTAGGTCAGCAGTAAATTTGCTGACTTACGACGATAAAATCCGGGGTTCGGTTCCCAGCAGGATGCACATAGCTCACTGTGTATCTTTGCGCTAAAAACAACAAACATTAATATCACATTGGGACGTGAAATTGCTCGCAAATTAATTAAACGAAGTAGTATACAGTGGTTCTATTTATGCATTTATAAACTTTATTATGTAACACACACTCGTTGATAAATTCTGTTTTAACTTCTAGGACTAAAACAAGCATGGTCAGTTCTACAGGATGGACACCTTTTGTAACCTCCTATATTGAAGAGACCGATTACATCGAGATTCTCGGTAACTTCACGAACTGGACAACAGAAAGTCAATGTTGCCCAGTCAATATTTCCGTCAACATTAGTTTGGCTCCGAGTTTTAGTTTGGAAATTCCATGGATAGTTTGCATTTCCCTGCTTCTGTCTGTTTTGATCTTGACCACTGTTCTTGGGAACGTTTTAGTGATCGCCGCAATTCTAACGGAAAAGAATCTTCAAACTGAGGGTAATTATCTCGTGCTCTCCCTAGCCCTGACCGATTTAACAGTTGCCAGTTTAGTCATGCCACTAGGTGCTGTGTACGAGGTTAAGCAAGAATGGATATTTGGTGTCGTTCTGTGTGACGTATGGACGTCATGTGATGTCTTATGCTGTACAGCTTCAATACTTCACCTCCTCGCTATCGCTGTAGATCGCTATTGGGCTGTCACAAATGTGGATTATATCCACAAAAGAAGTATCCGCCATATTGGAATCATGATACTTCTTGTATGGACTGTATCCGGTATTGTGTCGCTTGGACCTGTTCTTGGCTGGAGAGATCCGGAATATAATGAACGTATTCTGGCACACAAAATCTGTCTAGTAAGTCAGGACATAGGTTACCAAATTTTTGCCACATTCGCCTCCTTCTACATTCCACTAGTGCTAGTCCTTTGTCTCTACTGGCGAATATATCTGGAAGCTCGGAAGAGAATTCGGAGAAGGAGTGGCTATCGCTCATTTCAAAGACTTTCTGTGCCCCCTCCAGTATCTTCCATGACGGAAATGACAACGTTTATGACGAACTCATCAAGTAACCCGAGCTTTGAAACGACTTTTAGAAACGGATACATGGCAACACATGACGATTTCCATCAAATACACACCCGTTCTGATAGGAAGAAGACAAAATATCCAAAACATTCAGCGGCAGAGTCCAACAGAGAAAGAAGGGCAGCCAAAACATTAGCAATTATTACTGGAGTCTTTGTCGTTTGTTGGCTGCCGTTTTTTATAACAGTTTTAGTCCTACCAATATGCAGTGATTGCAGTCTGCCAGCTTACTTGTTTAGCCTTTTTGTATGGCTTGGATATTCAAATTCGATGTTAAATCCTATTATCTACACTGTATTTAGTCCCGATTTTCGGAGTGCCTTCAGAAGAATGATGTTTCATTCCAAAAAATAACTTACATTTATTTGTGTGCATTATGTATCTATAGCTATGAAGTGCATAATTCCAACCGAATAATCATCTTTAAGTTTAAATCTTGCCAACTATTACTATGACGTTTTGTGTGTGGTATTCAAATATGTAAGCAAAAGTCAATAATATAATCATTTCGTTACCTGCTGGTACCTTAAATAATGATTCATAATTATAAGAAATCACTGACTGGATAATAATTATTAGAATAATCCTTTTGCACGTGGCTTGAACTGAAGAAGACTTAAACTGGTGATTTTCTCTGGTAAAGGAGGGTTTGGGTGTTAATTAAAAAGTGAGTGAGTTAAAACAAACTGGTTTAAGCTAATAAGATATGCAGAGATACATTTTGAATACAGTAAAGAGTTTTGTTTTTTTGTGGGAGATATAATATATAATAACTGCAAACAAACTTCAGTGAATATTCCTATACGACGACTAGTCCACAAATATCAGCCGTTTATTGTATTGTATTGCTGCATGAAAAATCCATGTACTTGTGAAAAAGTACGTTAATAAAACCTGCTTAAGTTATCCTGCAGTGTTATTCTTTTGTTTAAAACTCAGTTATTAGTACAGATGAACAACAGAGTATTTCAAGACTGATTTATCAGTATCATTAATTAAATTCTGCAAAGTTAAAAATAACAAACATTACCTTAATATTACAAAGAAATTCGAAGTTTTTAATATTATCTTTTTCCTCATCGGTCGAACAAAAACTGCACATTTAGTAGTTTAAAATATGCGTAAAATAAAAAGAGATTTGTTCCAGAAAGACAGACCCTCCAGTGGCACAGCGGTATGTCTGCGGACTCACAACGCTAGAAACCGGTTTTCGATACCCGTGGTGGGCAGAGCACAGATAGCCCATTGTGTAGCTTTGTGCATAACTTCAAACAAACAAAACCAGAAAGACAGGCGTTAATATAGTAAGCCCTGTTCCTATTTCAAGAATGACATATTATGAATAAACCAATTGTTACACCTCCATTCTCGATATCGTAACACAATGATTCTGGTAAGATATAACTGTAACACTCTTTCCAGCATCTTCTCTTTGCAGTAAGTAACACTCTCATTCAAGAAGTAAAGTCGTGATGTTACTATGGTTACATAAAGTTTGTTTGTTTGTTTTGAATTTCACGCAAAGCTACACGAGGGCTATCTGCGC